TTTTTTCTAGCAAATCTGATCAGTGATATTGCTGCTTTTTATAATACTGGTCATTAATTATAATCTGCACTTTTGTGTATTTCAGCAGCTAGTGAGAGGCATGATGACGTAACTGAAACAGAGAAGCCTGTTGGTGCTTCGGGTGATATTTATCCACTGCTGGATCCTCAGTCAAAGAGTGAAGTAGGAATGGGAACTGAAATGTCCAAGTTTGCTGAACCAGCAGTCACACCAATGACAAGAAATCAGTTTGTGGCAGATTTGACAGGTAGCAACAAGCGTGAAGGCAACTCAGTGGGCCCTGGTGCAGTAGTGGAAGGGGAGAGAGAGCTTCAAGAAAAAAAAGATCCAGGTATACCTTATTGCAGGAAATAGATCTGACGAAATTTATCTACTGAAATGATTGAGAGAAGATTTGCATATCATACAGTGCACTGAGAGATTCCAGGAGAATGTGCTGAAAGGATTGGCTTTTTTGCTAGCTGTTTTGGACTCATGCATATATACATTTTTTGGCCTACATGCATGTTAGGAGACTTACAACCAGGGGTGCCGCATTTGATGATAAAAGTTTGATTGGATGACCACTTAAAATTGTTTTAACAGTTATTTCAGTACAAGATAGACATATGTAAGTAAGTATTTGTAGGCCTGTTGGTGTTATCTGGCTAATTCCGTCCCTTCCCATGCCTTATAAAGGGTCATAGAATGGAGGGGCGGTTGTCCTTGTCAGGGCGAAGGCTTGGAAAAGACAGTAAGTCACCGGACAATGTCCGGCTTAATAATTTAGTGATTTGGCCAGTCAAACTTGTTGACCAGTAACACATTTGATCATATTGTCCCATTCAAAGATGCCACATGTTTCTACCAGGGGTCAAGTAACCTCCAGAAATTTTAATCCCATTGGATGGAAAATAGGGGTAATATTCAATACCTATGGCGCTATCACAAGCCCTGAGGGTGCTGTCTTGTCCGTGGCCATGCCCTCAGACATGCGTGCATGATGAAATTTTAGGTTTTCTTAAGTACCACTCCCTGCATTTTGGCTTTACAGGTGGCAACAAAAGTTTAAAGGAAAGCATGATGTTCAAGTGGAATTTCCTCACGCATGGAGGGGTTCAACCCCCCAACCCCCCTTACCCCCACTTTGTGGGCTATTATGTAGCAATATATCATAATATTTGTATCCGATCAAGTTTTAAGGTTAACACAACACCTTGGGAGTTCTACTTTTGTCACATTTTTCTCTTTAAGGAATTTAAGTGAAACAAAAAGGTTGCTATAAAACATCGCCATTAAAACAAATCACATAATGGTGAATAAATCTTGTCACTTTAAGTGTTCATGCTTTTTGTAACTTAAACAGTACAATATGTTTATATGTACTCTACTTTAAAATGTCACTTGTGAGTCTAAGAACATCTAAGAGGCTTTACGTGGACTCAATGTATCTTCAAGAGGGGGTTTGTAAGTGGGTGGTGGGATTGGTTGCTTAAAATTAAAGACTGGCAAATTTAGAAAATATATTTATTCCCTCACACACACTCACTTATTTATCTGTTCTCCCTCCTACTTCCATCCATTCATCCATTTATTTTGTAATTCTTCCTGCAAATCTGATCAGATTGCTCATTAGCTACTGGCCATATAAAGTAATCTGTGTGGTTGCGTATTTCAGCAGCTAGTGAGAGGCATGATGACATACCTGAAGGAGAGATGCCTGTTGGTGGCTCAGGTGGAATTTATCCACTGCTGGATCCTCAGTCAAAGAGTGAAGTAGGAACAGAAACTGAAATGTCCAAGGTTGCTGAACCAGCTGTCACACTGCTGATAAGAAATCTGTTTGTGGCAGATTTGACAAATGGCAACAGAGGTGCAGGTGACTCAGTGGACCCTGGTGCAGTTGTGGATGGAGAGAGGGAGCTTCAAGGTAAAAAAGGTACATGTATACTTTATTGTAGAAACTATTTTTACCAAAATAATTAGAAATGATTGGGAAAAGATTTGTGTATTGTACATAGACTGCTGGAAGTTTGTTTTTCTCTCAAAATTCAGCAGGAAGTATGGGGTGGGACATTTCAGCCTAAGATTAGGATGAGACGTGTACAGGCCACTCGCTCATACCGCCCTTTGCATAACCAGCCATCTCTTTAACACCCTAGACTGTTCACAGCCTCTCTATTTTTCAACACATGTGAAAGAAAAAGTGAGCGTGAGTCACACAGGGGTGGGGGCAGGAAGGCAGGCAAGAGAAGCAAGCCAAATGAAGAATAGAGAGACTGAAGACACCTTTGGAAAAAAGTGGTTTCATGAGGCTCCTCCTCCTGTTATCGCCTTATGTCTGACAGCTCTGCTTCTTGACCAATTAAATAAATTGGACCAATTAAATTTGAGCAGTAAATTGCTCCTCTAATTGATTTACTCTGTTTGCAAACAATAATACGTGCATTTGGATGTCGAGGATGTCATCTCAGAAAACCATTACTCCAAAAAAAAACTTGCAAAAAGGGGGAGAAAGCCAAAATCAAGCAGTCCTTTTGATTTTTGTGGGATATGCACTTGTTCCTTTGCTACGGTATTCGCTTGAGGAATTTTGGTAAGACTTCTCATGCACCAACAGAAAATGTCTTTGTTGAGCCTAAACACGAAGGTGTTACACTAAGCAGGACACAATTGTGTGTGTAGTGGGAATCTTCGTTCTTCAACATGTTTTAAAATTTTGCATCCAAAAATCTTTTACAGCACCAAAAACAAACTTGTATTTCACTTCTCCAATGAGCAGAAGCACATCGTCCTTTGTTGACAAAATGATGGAAGGAATCCTGAGCTCTTCCATCTCTATTATTTCATCTTAAATGATACTTTTGAGTGGCGAAACAATGAGAACAACAACATTCGCACCATTTGCATTTCTTTTGCTGTTGCATAGAGTTGATATATCAGACTTTTCTCAGAGCCGGTCAGCAAAATTGTAATGATGTCCTTCGACTGAGGAAGATGAACAACCTTTTTCTGTTCAACTTCCAGTGAAGAAACATGTGAAAATTTCTCTAAACAGTATTCTAACAAATGCTCACTTAGGAATCATGGCATGTGTCAAAGATGACAACTACTGCAAACTGCAAAACATGCCTGGACCCAACCTGGACGCAATCACGATCACTCGTTGTTAAGGTGATGACTATTTTATTTCTCTGTCAACTAATGGGAATTTCCTGTTTCTGGAGAAACAGGGAATTCACTTTTTTCCAAAGATGTCTACAGCCCCTCTATTTTTCTCAGTCCCCACCCCCTACCCTCTGAGGTCTCTTGTTTTGCACTGGTGTCCATTTCTCTCAAGATTTTATCCTCACATTAAACAATCTAATAAAGATACATGAAATAGAGGGCTCTCTACAGTCTAATCTTACCCTAAGAGGAAACACTAAGTCATCCCAGTCCCTCCTCGTCCATCATGCATTTTTTCAAGTTTGTGTTCGCAGATTAACACTAGCTCATTAGACCCTAAGAGAAAAAGATCGACTGCCAGCAGCCTATATTATATCTACTGAGTATAATGAAAAAGTCAAACTGTTAGTATCAGGATGTACTAAAGGGATTCGCTACTGTTTGCTAGCTGTTTTAGTGGTACACTGTAGTTGTAGTTCAAGTACTGAGGGACAAACAAGGCTGTGTTCTAAGAAAAATTACATGAGCCCAAAGGTTCCTATCCATGAAATTCTGGGTGCCCAGCACTTAAGTTTATGTGAAAAACGTATGATTTTCCAGTTGTCCAAAGGTGGAAGCTTCTGTCGCCTGTGGCACCCAGGCACTTCCAGAGCATCGAGCCCTGACAAATAACACTTAGTTTCATGTATTGGAAATGGAAATTAAAATTAATTTGTTGCATGTCTAAAATTTGAAAACTAGTGTTAACAAATTTTTGCCTGCCTGGTTTGACCATCTAGAGGAAAGTTTATCTCATAAAGAAGATGATTACAAATGATTACAAATAAAGTAGATGTTGCTTTCCTGGAATTAAAGGTAATTTTTTGCAAAAAATTACAAACTTCTGAGAAATGAACTTCACATGAAACTTACAACATATACACATACTTTATTTGGTGAATTAGGTGTGAATTTTGAATAAAAATTTATTTTATGAACTGGAGACATAAAGGGGAGAATTCCTGATTTTGTAAAGCTAATATAGAAGTTATGTGTACTCCTATTTTTCTCAGATTTTGCTAAAGGAAAACAATCGCCTACGGAAAACTCCTACAGATCTTTTGACTTAAACAGTTCAGAAAACAAAGCTGAATTTGAACAAGACTTCAAAGGAGAGGTGTGTGTGGTGGATTTGCCTTCTGAGAATGGCAGTAGAGACTTACCGGATCCAGTAGAACCAGAGCAGAGGGCCTATACAAACAACAATGGGGAACCATCACTGCAAGATCCAGCAGAATATTTGAGTGATCAAGATGATGACTTCAGTGTTGACAAAAGGAACAATAACCATGGGCTGCCGGCACAAGCTTGTCAAGGCCAAGGCAATGAAAGAAGGTCTAGTTTTCCCCCTGATCTACCAAAGAAAGTTGAGAACCCCCTAGTGAAGCGTTCAACTAGTGTTTTAAACCAGTTGAATACTGCTGGGAGACACAGAAAATTTGGGCTAGGTAACAGTCAGTTTTGTTGTCATGTATTAAGCACAGTTCTGCCTCCATGTTTCTACGTTTTGCAAAACAATGAAAAAAATCTGATTATAAGATATTTGAATTCTTTGTCCCATGTACCCTCAAATTCGCTTCTTTTGAGCTCATCATTTAGCTACAGGTTCGTTTTCAAATGTCTCTTTGTTATGAGAAGGATAGCAACATGAAAAAGACTCATTTATATTATTACAAAATGATTTATCTCTGTTAACTTTATTATTTCTTTTTTGAAACATTTGTCTCTTGAGACCCCCCCCTCCACCTTAAAATTTCCAGTGACCTTCCATGGGGTGGGTATGGGTTTTTACTGACACCAGACATTCACTCAAAGAAGCTCTCCCATTTTCTAACTCTTGCACACTAATAAGAAGTTTCTTTGGTAAAGACTTGGCAATAAAAACCAGCAATAAAAACAAACGATGTTTTGACCTCGGAGAGGTGGACACATTCTTTCTTANGACATTCACTCAAAGAAGCTCTTCCATTTTCTAACTCTTGCACACTAATAAGAAGTTTCTTTGGTAAAGACTCGGCAATAAAAACCAGTGATAAAAGCAAACCACGTTTTGACCTCGGAGAGGGGACACGTTCTTTTTTATCACTGATTATTATTACCAAATCTGGCCCACTACGTATAGGTATTGACCATTATTTTAAAATGTTAGGCACCAATGCATAATTTGCATGCTGTTGCTGCTGCTGTCTCAGAATTTAAAAGTACCTGTAACTTTTCCCATGTCAATTTAGGTGACTCGTTAGAAAAGACCTTATTGAGTTCTTTGGAGGTCTTGGAAGCATCAAGTAGATCCTTGGATAAAGAATATAGATATGGTCGATGCAAGTGCTGGAAACACCTCGCTGAGATCTTTGGCATTTCCAAGGAAGAGTATGAGAGCTTTAAATGTAATCAAGTTCATAGTCCTACGGAGGTTATGTTTGAGTATCTGGGGTCAGTTATGCCTGATATCACAGTAGGTGATCTGAAAGATGGCTTAGCCAAAATAGAGAGGCAAGATGTCACAGACATACTTATAAAACATGAAACCTGTGAGTATGGTTTGGTTAGAGATACTGTATTGTCATTTGTACTTTTATTTTCATTTGGAAATGATGACAAAAATAGTTGCCTTATTAATTGTTTTTTTTTTTTTTTAACCAAAATGGAAGAGGCAAATGTCACTCGTCCTCTTCGCCCCTTCGTGAGTGGAGCATAAGCCCACAAAGAGGCAAATGTCAAGAGATTTAAATTTTTCCATTTGGCAGAAAAATAGAGGTTTTTATTTTCTTTTTTCCTTTAAGTCAAAGTAGTTGGTTGCCACTTTGCCACCTATGGTACTGTTGATCTGTCGGTGATGACACAAGAGAAGCAGAGAGACGCTAATACTCCATATCAATGTTATTATCTCAGTAGATGTCCCCAAACATGGTTTGATCTTTCATAGTGTTGGCTTGGAGGATCTGGGTAGCTTGTTATGATAGCTTACACTAGCCCAGTGATTGGTCTTGTGACCGCAAACCATGCAGACTATTTTCTTCTAGGACTACCTTTTTCTGTTTTTTTCATTTTATTTTTAGCCTGTCAGCTCACAGTTCTAGTGATTTTGTTTCAGGGAATCCATCTGCACTGAATGATGAAACCTTAGTGTGCAGTCTTTTTGATAGTGATCCAGATATCATTGGAGAAATGGCTGTCTTCTTAGACAAGCAGAAAACCGGTTTGAAAAACTGGTCACATTTGGCAGCCAAGTTGGGTGTAACAAGGAAGATTTTCAAGACTTTTGAAACTTCCAGCACTGGCAATCCCACAGAGGAATTTTTCGAAATTGTAGAAGTTCAGTTCCCAAAGTTGACTGTTGGAGAATTGATCAGTCACCTGGAAGCTATAGAAAGGCGTGATGTGATAAATGCAATCAAAAGTGCCAAAAGTTAGTGTAATCTTTATTGTTTTATATCTCTTGCAAACTAGAATTCTCATTTTTCAAACCCTTCCTCCAGGAAACATGGCCTGGTGTCAAGATACCCATTGTGGCAAAAGGCTTGAATCCCCGGGGGGTAACCCCAGAAAATTGGGTGGGGAAGTGCGGCCCGCTTCCCAAAACCCTCACCCTATTTTAGACCTAAATATATCATTTTCCCTACCCTATTCATGACCTGACCAATATTTTGATACCCTATTTATGGTCTTTGCGGCTGGCACAGTAGCTCTAAACATAATTTATGAAGGGCTTTTGTTGATTGTCTTATCGATAATGCTGAAAAAGTAGCTTTTTCTAAAAACACTCTTAATTTGAGACCAGAGTTCAAAAACCATAACCTATTTCTGACTAAAATGGCCAAAATCAATAGCCTATTTTATGACCAAAACGGCTACAAAACCCTACCCTTTGGGGCCGTACATACTTACATAGACCATGTTTGTGATTTGTTGTTATTGTTTTTTAGTTTCAGAAGGTTCTGTGATGAAAGACCTGATTGCAGAACCAGACGTCATGGACACTGTGTGTGAACTGTTCAACACAAGGAAGCGCACTACTAAGGTGTCAGGATTGAAACACCTAGGAAGAAAATTAGGGATCAAGAAGGAGATTTTGGATGACCTGTTACCCAAACAAGAAGTAGCGGAAAGTCCTACAGAAGCGCTTATCCGTCATCTTAATGCAAAAAATCCATCCTTAACTTTAGAGAACTTCATTTGGGCACTACACTTCATTGACCGACCTGATGTCCATGCTGTGTTGGATCCCTATTTGCCAGGTACAGTTCTAGTAAGATTATAAATTGTGATACGATATATTGATTAGCCAAGCGCGAGGGCTTGACTGGGAGAATATTGGCCAGAGGTATTGACGGTACAGACCAAGCACAGCGACGTTCGTACAAAAAAAGCCCGAGGCCCGTTTCTCGAAGGTCCCGAAAAGTCTTCGCACCCGGAAAGCTGTAGCAAAATCTCAAACCTTATGATTACAGAGCTTTTTTTACTGTCACATACTCTTAATATAAACGGAAGTTTCATTCCGCATAAGAAGTTTCAGGCGTATACCTCTCTCTCTTTAGATACCAATTAACTAAAAATGGCTTTTCGGGTCCGAAAAGTCTCCGGGACTTTCGAGAAACAGGCCTCAGGGCCGATATTCTCCTAGTACGGTACCGAGCAAACAAGTAGGAGATTTATTATACGACTGAAAAATTAATGCTGAGAAAAAATCACAGACTGGAAAAACTTCAAGCGCGCAATTCTGATTGGGAGTCGACTAGGTGTATAATTATGTCTGATGTTAAACAACACAAAAAAGGGAAAGACAATTGGCAGAAAAAAACAGTGAATCTTTTAAGCGAAAGCAAGTTCTTTCACAAACGTATGCCATCAGGAGGTCTTCAAGACTGATCGTAAGGAATCATTCTGAACAGTGCACGGTTGAAAAAGTTAAAAAAGTATACAGAAGGTTGGTGAGCAGTGACGAATGATTTACATATATACTCATGCATCAACATAATAATTGTGCTTTGTTTCCATGTTTAGATGGATGCATTCCAAATCTCTTGAAGACGTGTGACTGTGAAAGTTGTAAGCAGGCTTCACTGAAACAAGGTGAAGAGGAACGGTAAAAGTGTGCCAGCTTGACAAATTGTCAAAAAGTTTTGTGTGCAGTTACTCAGTAACAGTTGACTCTGGTTGAGCATAAACACCAGTATTTTTGAATACTCATTCTTAACCCTATCAACTCTGAAAGCATAGCAGTTTTGTTTAAAGAAAAAGATCATCCGGTAGACTCCCTCTATGTCGAGCTCTCACGGGTAATAGCCCTATAATTATTATCACGGGGCCCATTCACACTTGGTTTGAAATAGCGAGGGAATAACCGAGTTCGAGATGGCCCATAGCAACTCATCCCTCGTAATACTCACAAGAAGTCCGTGTCAAAATGACGGGATTCAGTTCCGATAACGAAGAAATCGAGGTAGATCGTGTTCAAAATAGCGAGAGCCTACTGTCGATGAAGGAAGTACAGAACTGGCTTCCCCAATGGCCATTAATAATTAAGTGCGATTAGCATATTTTTAATGTATAGTTAGCGTACTTCTTGCTTGTTTAAGAAATATTTCAAGTTTTAAAATAAGAATCCATGGCTTATTCTTAAAGAAGTAAACAACATAAGATTAATAATGTATTTTTAACATCACTCGTAAATAGTTTAAAGAAACGCTTTGCGATTACTAGTGTCCCTGTGATGGGCTTTTACTTTTAATAGTGAACATTTTGCATGAGATTGTAAGAAAAAAACAGCGCTTAGCTTTGAGAGTAAATGTTAGATTAGGGAGGACGATTTTAAAAGTTGATATAAGTTAACATTTTTAGGCGTAAAACTACAATTTTAGGTTTGTCGAATCATTCCAGATGCTTGACCAAAACAATTTGATAGAAAAATATAGGAAGAATTGAATGAAACACTAATTTTTCTGCGGGGAAAAATATTTTTTTGCAGTGGTAAGTTATCAAACAAATTCATCATCATACAAAGGGAACCTCTTATAGGTACCAATTTCGCAATTTCGCGATGGAGACTGATGCGGGGACTCTTTTGAATGTCAGTGACCTGAACCTGAATATAGCTATATGTTATATCACATCTTAATGCGAATTTAAAGTACCGTGAAGATACTAAAAATGGCCCGCGTCCAAGCCCAACAACTAGTGGTTTAACTAAACAACGTTAAAAATAAGTTGCTCATACCGTGCACACCCCACAACTCAAAAAGGTAAAAACCTGTTTGATTAAAATAGGCTAGTAAAGTGGTTTGTAATATGTGTTCTCAAGATGACTGCAAAGCGTAATCGACAAATTGGGAAAACCTAAACCAGATTTAGTTAAACTGGTTTAGTTAGTATGAATGGGGTATGAGTCCTAAATCTTTAACATTGCCTGGGTGGAGAGGAGGGGGAGACGTATCCTCCAATATTGCAAATTGAAGACGTTGTTACAACTGTAGAACTGAATAATTGTTCCATTATTTTTGGTACTCGTTGTACGGTTTCCCAGCTACTTTTTTAGGCCCCTCTTAATACGAGCTTAATTTGTCCCCGGTGGGAGGGTCATCCTCCATACCGAGCAATCTTGGCCGAGAGAACGTTCATAGCGCCAAACGTTTTATGAGACATCACAAAGTTGGCTTGGGAGACACAGTGACCCTGGATGGAGGGTCAAATTTTTATTTAAACTAGATTAGATCTTACATTGTAAATTTTTTAATTCTTATTTTGTAATTATTCTTTTTTGTTTATTTACACACGACCCCACAAGCTGCAAGCTCAATTACTGATCGTGTTTAAATAAAGGTTACGTACTTACTTAGTCGTTTTGAAGGTAGGGCGACCCTGGAGGTGGGGTGGGGATGTAACGTTTTTCCATATTGACACTATGGACATGTACGACTCGCCTACCAGGCTACCAAATAAGGGCAAGTCAGGACATATAGAGCATGCACGGAAGCCGAGGAGAATCTATGCGTCGATCAGAAGGGGCAACGTTCGGTAAAAGGTGGCTCGGGAACAGGGTAACCCTCCTACTAGGGGCCTATCTTCTCCACGGAAAAGCTCCTTTAGGTTGTGATGAGGATTTCGCATCGTAAGTCTATCGTGAACGTCCTTGTGAAAATTTTGCACATCCAGCTCAATTAATACTCTGTGCTCCCCAGTCAGTTTGTAAACTTAAACTACACCAACGTCATAACGCCAGTCTGAAGCCATGACTTTATCTATCTAGTGGTTAATTTCAAGGATACCAGACGCAAAAAGTTAAATCACAAGGACCACACAATAGAAGCCTGCTAAGTAAAGTAAGTAAGTAACTCAGTTTATTTCAACTCGGGTTGAGGAGGCTGATTAGGCCCGTAGCAATACGGTCACGCTAATATGCCGAGAAAAATATGCTAGCATAGCCCCCTTCGTGCGGTAACACAATAGTTAAACGAACTGTTGTTGAATTAACAAATAAAGAAGCCTAAGCCGTGTATTACACTGTGATAAAACACGACGGGCACTTCTCGAGTGTTCTCAAGTATCCGGAGTTTTTTATCACAGTGTACTACACGGCTTAGACTTCTTCATTTGCTTTATGATGTATACTGAGGTAATGTGGCAAAAAACAATAAAACACGCTTTTTCTATGTTTTATACTCTGATATAACATTGGTTTTTGACCAATCAGAGCGCGCGCAGGGTCCTATCTGTATTATAAAATGTAATAAAGAATTTAAAATTAGGAGTTCTTGTTGTCTCGATCCCACTATGCCAGGCATGATTAGACTTCGAAGGATATTTTCACTGAAAATGTTTCGGTGGGAACAATCGTTCCTGTTGAAATTCGCTCGTCACTGTCCGCTCACACTCTGGGTGATAATTGGCATTTGAAAGTTCCGGATTCCGATTTTCCCGGTCACAAAAGGGATCAGGTAAATACGGATTCTTTGAAGTAGTCTACCTTAACTTTTGGACAAGACTTGAATCTTCTGCGTAACCATCGAACACCTTGTTAGATTAATCTGACTCATTGAACGTTCAGCTTATTCTCTCAACCTCCCAAGGGAAATGCATGTTCCTTTGAGCCCTTAAAAAATTTATCATTCCCGGCCTTTATTTTTAAAATTTCCTGATTGCCTTTATGATCAATACAAAACGTATAAAAACTGAATTGATAAATATCGTTGGAGTCCTGCGCTTCTCAAGCGAACCCGAGCTTTGCAAAAATTTGCAATGTTACGTTGCTTCCTTTTGTGAACCAAGGATGATGATGATGATGATAATAATAAAGGTTCTTATTGCGAATTTAGAATTCTCAATGCACTTACAATTGCATATGATTAAAAAGAATAAAAACCTAACTAAAAGACTGATGCAATTATTAAAATTTATGACTAGGTTAAAAACTATTACAAAAAAGAAATGGTTTAAGGTTCTTTTTAAAAATCGCTATGCTCTCAGACTGTTTGATATGAAAAGGTAGGTGGAAGGAGGCCTTGGCAGCTTTGCAGATTAAGATATGCAATTTGTAAGCGCCCTGTTGCTTACCATTATTATTCTATTGGAGCCGTGTTTGAAAGAAATCGGATTCTGGGAATGAACTTCAATAGTTACTGACTACGAAGCTGTCTTTGACCTTATCACTGGAATTCCAGTTGTTGCATTATTTGTTACTTTGTAACTTTTTTTAGCTACTTTCTTAAGGTGCATTGCTTCCAACAACCATGACAGTAGTTACAGGTGGTAGTAACCTCCATTTATTTGGGAACAATTATTGCTTCCAATCAGAGCGCACCTTTTTCCACGCCTGTATGGAAAACTAAGAAACCATCGACATCTAAGAAAACTGTTGAAGCAACCTTTGGGGAAATTAGCAGATCACCCCAGCACTCTCTTGTTTGGTTACTTCACTCTTAAGGTCCGGTAATACGGGCAGCATTTTTCTTCAACTTGTCTCGCAACATTGTTGCATTGCAAGTTGAAACCCTCTGTTGCGCGTATTACAACGTTTGTGACCAACTTGTCTCGCAGTAAAATACAGTGTTGCAGGTTGAGGCAACATGTTGCGCAGAGTAGACTCGAGTTCTACTTTCTGCAACAAGTTTTTGTTTTGTTGCTCGTATTACCACTGAAGCTACAACTTGTCTCGCAACAAATTTGAATTCAACGCTTCTAATTGGCTGTCACGAAGCGCGGGAAAT